CATCAAAACGGCATGTTGTTTGTTGGCTTTTGTATTTGTGACCCCAGACATATGTTGATGCGATACATATCAAGAAGACGGACAAACGAAGGTTACAAGCGGAAGATCCGCTTGACATGAACAAGAATAGCGACACATTTGCGTCATTTCCGGAAGGGAACACGCTCAAGGAGGACCAGGAGGCAATGGTTGGTACTTAATATTTGATGTTTACAGTTTTATGGATGTTTCTCAACCTCTCGGATCTGTCGGTAATCCATGCTGTCGTCGTGTTTCTTGTTGTTTGTAGCCGTTGCAAAACATTTTTGAATTTTCCTCATTGTTGTATGCATTGCTAGGCTACCAGAGTGGCCTGGGACCACTTGCCCGGCTGGGCGAAAAAAAAAAAAAAAAAAGTTTTTTTGGTATTTTGATGTGAGCATGAGGCAAAAGTTGTTCAGTTTATTTGTCTGCATAACATAGTTTTTTTTTCGTTTTTTTCTTTTCTTTTTTCCTGGGACCTTCCGTTGTCCTTGCACGGCTGGGCCGCCCGGGAAAACAGGGTCACCCGGGCGGCCCGGCTGGTAGCCTTGATGCATTGCTAATAAGATTTATGAAACAGTTTCTGTTTTTATTTTTTTGCTGGAAAGTACATGTAATTCGTTACTGTTGTACTTAAACCACCAGTACTTGGGCTGTCTCTTATACACATCTAGATGTGTATAAGAGACAGCTCCTGCCCTAAGAATGTCAGGCAACCTGGCCCCCACAGGCCTTCCAACTGACTCTCAGGCGGCTGGCGCTGCTGACTCTCCTGCTCCTGCGTACTTCGGTTCTCAGCACTTGCCACCTCCGCTGGTGTAGCCCTGTCTCTTATACACATCTAGATGTGTATAAGAGACAGTCACATGCGCGCGCATGCATGCGCGTGCGCTCTGCGCCGCATGTGCCGTGACCCGGCGCATGGAATGCACCGCAAGTATGCTAATTACCCTTCTCTGATTGTCGTTCCAATTTTAAGGATGCCCCAAAGGATGCCTGGCCCCATTTAAAGAACATGCAAGTGTGCCTTTGCGGCAGACGGGGGTGTGTGGGCACCCAACACTCTAACCACACGAACATGGCTGGCCTTGCACTCTCCATCTGGCCTCTCGGGGATCTGGTCGACTAGACGAAAGTGGCCAACCTT